GATTTGCAGAAAAACAAACCATTGTCAACTCTACGAGTAGTCTATCCGACCGAAACCATACGAGTACTCGTAGAGGGTCAGAGCATGTGGGGGGGGGAGGAGGCTCGTGCTAGCATAGGACAGTTTAGAAAAAGGCGGCTGGTTGCATTTGAAAGTGTCAAGTTCAAATCAGAATTACTTGGAGTATGGGGCAAAACACTCACTAAGAGCAGTTAATACCAGTAACCGGTATTGCGTCTCCCCCAATCACCCCGCCCCGTGGAATCTTTTCTTTAATTATTCTGCGGCATATATTGCGGAGTTCAATTGCCGCTGACCGTTTGTTTAACTCAACAACTACCCTTCGCTCGCAAGCAGAGTGACGGAAGCAAGGTTCGACCGGAGGTTAACCCTCACCCTTTACCCTCTCCCCCGTCACGAGAAGCTCGGTGTATCTCTATTCGAGTAGAGAGTTGACAAGCAAGGCTCATAGCACTATATCATACCGTAGTATATCCATCCTATTGCACGTTAAGGGGACGCGGTGGAGGGGCCAGCAGCTACTCGTGTCTCCGCGCATGGGTGCTGCAGGCCCGTAAAAAGGGCAAACGAATGCCAATTCTCAGCTCGGAGGCACGAGTAGTTGAGGCATAAAATAAGAGGAAACAAAAATAAAAATAATAAGGGCCAAGTTGGTTGAGGTGGCAATCCAACTACCCCCGCATACACAACACCACCCCCCTGCCTTTTTTTCAGAGCCGCAGAGAAACTTTGAGTTGTCATACCGTGTTGCTTGTTTGGGCCTTTTCCTACCCGGCCCTAGGTTTCGTGGATCGCTCGAACCCACTGTATTCCGCCAGTATTGCGGAAGTCGTACAGACACACCAGGCATACAGAAGATTTAGTCTAGGAGGTTACGGCACCCCTCCGACAAGGGTAGAAATACGGTATTCAACTCCACGAAAGACCATGAGAGCCCTCTCCACTTTCACCGTATTGAAGTGGCTCCAGCCGGGACTGTACTCGAGTACTTCTCGAAGGCTGTAGCGCTCCAAGACAAACAGCACAATCCACTGACTACTCGTACGACACCATACTCGAGTACGGTACCGGTATTGCCTACGCCGCCGTCGTTGCTCGTTAAAATAACTGCGACGGTATTTTAAGCTTACAATGCATCACCACACCCAGCCTGGTTCACAACCGGAGCAACGCCACTGGACTGGGGTTCTCATGGTCCGGAGAAAGAAAATCCCTTTTCTCCCTGTGGTTCCGTTATCAAAGATAAGTTGGTGACTAAAAGGTTTTCCAACGAGCGGAACACGGTCGGGTATGATTTATTTATTTACGGAAAACGTCCAACGACTGGCTTCTGGCCCTAATTTAAGATAAGGACTCGGGCTGGGAGAGAGAGACCTTCATATACACGCGTAGGTAGGAGTAATTCAAAAGCCCGGGGGATCCCCTAGGTTCTTGTCGAGTTTTTTTTCTTTCTTTCCCACAGCGTAGAACTGTCGTCACTGGGAGGGAGTACGAGTACTGGAGGAGCTCGACTCGGACATGGCAAGTGAACTGGAAAACTCTTTTTCCTCGGGCTCATACCACCACTCACGGGTGAGGAGCTACGAGTACGGTTTCTGGATTCACCAGCCATGCACGAGGACCAGCACTCGAATAATACTGGACTTGACATAAGCAACCGAATACGATAGTAGGAGTAGGAGTAGCGTTCAACAACCGCTTCCCTCCCCTTGCTCACCCCATCCGTCCCTTATTCCACCACCACCCCCAACATCCCCCCAAGCCAACCTAAGCCCTAAACACCGACAAACCCACCATGTAACCACCCAACCGCCATTCCCACCCAATAGCCAAACAAGACCCCACAACCTCACAATCACGCCAAACGCACCGTGACGCAGGAAAAAGTGCTTTTTAGCAAGGCGAAAGGAAATGTCATAAAAAAGAAGAAGAGAAAAGAGAAAAGAACACCCAACTTGCGTTACCCCAGATTCCTGTGTTCCTGAAGACCACATCAATACTCGAGTAAAAAGCAAAGAGGCCAATGGCGTGGTAATGGTTCTTTGTGGCTTGTCGGAACCGATTCCCTTTGGCCAGCTTGTTGTGGTTTGTACGCCGGTTTGCCAATGTGTAAGTTGGATGTGGGGAAAATGGCCTACTCGAGTAGTCGGTCAGGAACGGAATGGGGTTGTCTGATGGGGGGGTTGCCGTGCGCAGGTCTAGGCCACCGTGTTTACTGAGGAGAACTGCCTGGTCACTCTTATGTTGAAATAAGAAGCACCTGAGGTGAGACCTGCAAGTGCGCCAAATTCAGAGCCTCTGAAAGACTTCATCGCGACTAGAAAGAACTAGCATATCATATCAATCACGTCTGAGTGCGACTTGGGGACAAAACTGGGATAAGAAATATTATTTGAGCGTACTTACTAGCGCTAGGTGGTTCTCCCTAATTAATAGGGTACAGGTATTTGGCAGGGAGGGGAGGAGAGAGGTTGAAGCAGTCATGCAGTATCACTCGGATTATGGGATTGGCATTGGGGGTGGGGGGGTGGGGAATAATTAGTATTTCTAAAAGGGGGTTGGTTGCACGGCGAACAAATAAACACTCCACTCTACCGCACCACCGGACCACAAACAACTCACCCCCTCCCCCGCCCTTCCCGCAGGCGGGCAGGACAGGGCAGGCAGAACTAAAGACAGCCTTAAAAACTCCAGGTGGAGGAGGAAAAGAAGAAAGGAAAGGAAAGGATCACAAGGCACAATTCACCATCCATAAACCCCCGAAAGAAAGAAAGAAAGAAAGAAAGAAAAAAAACAGCTGATCATTCACTCACTTGTTTTAACTCCAGCATTCTTGTTTTTCATACCCGATTTATTGTTTCGACTCCACGTTGCGGGGGGGCTCACTTAAGCGATGCGCTAGCTAACATTTTTGTGCAACCTCCACACAATAATTTAGATGGATACAGTAGGTATTGTAGATAAGATAAATTGACGGATTCCTATTCCGGGGGGGTGGTGGATGGGCGGGTTCGTTATCTTTTTCGTTTTGTTTGGGGTTCGGGGTTTGGTGTAGGGTTAGGGTTTTGTATGTTTAAAGCCATCATAATATCTGGTATGATATCACACCGCCGTATCTCAAGGTACGATTTCAGAGTTTTTGCAAGAGGGAGCTGGGTAAAATGCCCAAGGGGGTGTCTAGCCTTTCTATCGTATCGTACTCGCGATCGCTCATCTATCATAGTGCCTTCGATGAACTAACTCTGCGGGGCAGAAAGTTCGTTTAATGTCTTATCGTACTCCTACCGGTATTGTAGAGAGACGACCGATATAATATCCCACAACGAGATTACCACTGACACAGATGTTTCACCTCCCTTCCCCTCCCTTCGTTCGACGATCTCATTTCGTAACTTGGACCAAGTCCCCGTCTATCGTGCGGGACCTGAGGTTCCAGCTGGCTAGGGTATTGGATAAGCACAACTAGACCGCTGAACATAAAGCTGCATACTGCTGCAAACACTAGCTCTGTATCATACATATAAGTGGAGGAACTTTATAGTCTAAACAGAGAGAGCACTCTGGACTCAACGGGGCCCAGATACCTCCTTTACTCCGGTTTTTGGAGGAGAAAAAAATACAAACTTTTGGAAATTTGGTTATGATACAAGTAAGGTGGATAGACCGATCCAAAGACCGTCAGCCAATCTTACCCAAGCGAGCGAGCGAGCAGGCGGTAAGATAAGATAGATTCAGCCTATACCGACCAACCCGTAAAAATTGACAGAATACATTCGCTGATCCTGATTCCTCCACCTCTTGCAAGGTTGTCCTCCGGGAGCTTAACTTATCTCGCGCGCGCACACCCCGCAGGCGTCTTCAGATGTTCTGTTGATCCGATGTCGTGGGGTTCTCTCAGAACTCTGATGCCCGGAAATTACTACAATAGACTATCTTTTATCTCTTTTTGCCGTTGCGTGCTCGTAGATTACTATAGTACTGTCTTGGTAGCCATGACTGGTCGCGAAATATGATATATCGTTCCCGCTCAAATCGGCGATTGCTTAATCTACAGCTCAATTGACCGAGCCCCGGCGGGGGGCCGTCACAGGCGGCAAGCGCAGTATCGTAGTTATTGTGTTCCAACGCCGAACAAAAGGATCCCACCGGATCAGCATTGAGATGGTATGATATGTCAGAATTCGATTATCCTCCTCTACACTTGGCTCTTCCATTCCTTTCCCGGTAGATTTCTTCTCTTCCGCCGGTGGCAAGGAGGGCGATATATCACGGAAAGAAAAAAGGCGCAACAGGAAAGTGCGCGCCATGCATCCCCCCACCTCTGACATCTCGAGAACCCACACGTGTGAATGGTGACCGCGCGTGTGTCACCGGAGCTGCTTCGTGAATTTCGCACGATGGGTATTTTATTCAAGAGTGGTATTATATATATATATATTGAAATATGATACCGTTCGTCCATCAGGCAACGACATACCGGTAGGGTAGTAGGGACAGTAGTGAGACGGAAAAGACGGCGTAAAAATCCACTCCCCTCCTGGTCCGGCGCAAAAGATCCGGCCGCGGCGTGCGGCCACAAGAGCGAAGGCGAAGGCGGAGCACGATAGATGGTCGTTCACGACAAGCCATCCGGGAATTCCCTAAACACACGAGTAGGCGGAATCACACGTGGTAATTGGAGAGTGATAACTTATGACGTATGTTGCGGGCTACGATATTGGCCAGGGTGTTGGCTTCCATACGTATTCGTTGGGAGGTTCGGGTTAGGAAGTATTGGGAGGATTGCCGCTGGGCGGAGGTGTTGGCTGAGAGCTTTTAAGGTCAACTTGTGGACTGGGTGGTGGTGGGGAGACCTTGTAATTGATGTTGTTTTTGGGTAGGTGTTCTAGAATTGGTTACTGCTTTTGCAGTGGAATGGTGTCGTGTTGTTATCACTCTTTGAATCGATTGAATTTCCTGATGCCGTTCTTGAAACCAAGTATTGTGGAATGATAGTATGGGCAATTAGCTTTTATATCGTATATCGTACATCGACCGCTTCCTGATCTATCCAGAGTTCCAAACCTATTTAAAGTCTTTATAACTCCACCTCTCACTAACCTTCTTGGCATACTTCCTCCTCTCAATGACCCTAGCTCTACACTCGACTACCCCCCTCTCCCTCAAACTGCGGAACCTATCCCTGAGCAGACTCCCCTCGGGCTTCAACGTCCTGAGCGAATCCGCCAGCTCCTCGGGCAACTGAACTTCCAAGGGCGCCTTCCCCATCCCAACCTTCCCGAACCTGTGCTTGCGCATGAGTTTCGGGTTCTTCTCATTGTCCTCCACATCCGTGACATCCTTACTCTTGGCATGGGCGAGGGCGCCAGTCCGATAGGCGTCTTTGGTGTACTTTCGTAGGAGTGATAACTCCGCCGCCTGTTCTTTTGCCAGTTTTGCTCGAAGGGTGGATAGCTCCTGAGCCTTTTGGCGGCGTTGTTTATTGCGCTGAGCCTGTGTTTTGCGTTCTGGTTGTTTCCTCTTGATAAACGGTGCTTCCCCATCGCTGTTGCTGTCGCTCTCGCTTTCACTAACGGGCTCGGGTTCTGGTATTGCCGCTAGAGCTTGTATTCGCTCACGCTCCTTAACTTCTTCCAGGCGCTTCTTCTCATCTTCCACAGCCTTTTCGCCCTCCGTGCGGAGAAGCGCATCCCATTTTTCGAATTCCGGGTTGTAGCTTATTCCCGCTTCCGGGAGGCGCACAGCTGGAACTGGTTTTCCGGTTTGGGCAAGAGATACGGGTGGTTGCTTTAGTGTCTTCGGCTCCTTCACCACTGCCGGCGCTTCCAGGAAGGTTAGCCCCTTGGCTCGGTACTTTTCCGCAATATTTTCCTCCGGCGCTATGGGTGTCGCCCAAGGGTCGTAATCTATCTTTAACTCTGGAGCATCTTTGTCGCGGGAGTTGTAATGGGATGAGGGGTTTGTAGCAATGGAGCGGAGACGATCGAGGTCTTTGTAGGAAACGCCATTGCTGCGACGCTTTTTAATGGGGAGGATGCCGGTGCCACGAATTGTAGATGTGGCCGTGGGGTGGGCCCGCTTTCGCCCCTCTATTGCTGGAAGAGCACTACGGGATGATAGGATCTCGTCGGATTTGAGCTTTTTAGTGAATGACTTTGCGATAGCGATGTCGCCAGTGGTGTCCAGGGTAAAGAGCTGGTCGTTGGTCTTTTCCTTAACAACTCCACTATGCAATCCATTCAGTAGTTGTAAAAAAAAAGATACTAGATGGACCAGGATGGAGTGGGAGGTGGATTACCCTTGAATTATCTCTTCGCGGAGACTCTCGAGGCCGGCACTAACATCGGTGATATCGACATTCTTGCGCCAGGCTTTTTTACCTTTTCGGGAGGGTTGTCTGCTGGTCATTGTAGGTTGTAGAGAGTCGAATGTAGATGAGTTAAGATTGCTGGCTGAGTTCCGAATGTAGAAGAAAAGAAAGGATGAAATTTTGGCCTGGTGGGGTTACCCTGCTAGCCGGTCACATGATTCACAAAATTATTTCCCCTGGAGGTGCAATACTAGCACCGACAAGGCAACGTCTTTCTCTTGGAACATTGGTACCCGAAAGTCCCATAAGCCATGCCGTATTTCACACAGATCCGCCACTCATATCGGTATCACCAAAAACCAGAATAAACTCCGAGTAATGCTACATGATCTTGCCACTAATTAGCCATATGAATCTCTAAGGTACAACCCGACAACAAACTCCCGTTCCCCTCTGACCATCCCGATCATTGAAAGTCTAGCAAAATGTAAACTTGAAAATGTACAAAAATCAAACCAAATGCAGCAACAAGAGGCAAACTTCCAATTCCACCGAAGTCCACCTCCACCTGGCAGTTCCACAGGATATAACAAAAAGAGAAAAGTAGGAGCCGGTGATAATGGGTATAAGATTGGCAAATAAGCGCACGGTATTGAGTGATGCGGATTACTTTTTGAAAAAGTAAGAGTTGATACTCCCTTGCCCAGTCACAGGTCCTGCGTTTTTCTTTTTACTCTTTGGAGCAGTCTTGGGCTTCGGCTTAGGCTTTGGCGCAGGCTCCTCTTCTGAAAAGGATTCCCACGCAGGTTCAAACTTTGTGACTAAAGAAGTGTCAGTTTGTATGGAATAGCGGATAATAAAACATATACTTACCGAGATACCCATCCTCATCCTTAACTTGGATCTTTTTGTTGACCTTTCTCCTCCCGCGTCTTCTCCCGCCTTCGGTGACAGCGTTCACAACACTGCCAGTAGGGAGTTCGACAGGCTTGCTTTCTGGGGGCGTTTCAACTTCTTGAATTTCTTCCGCTTCTTCTTCCTCTTCCTCACTCACTTCTTCCTTTACTCTCCTTTTAGGCTTGGGTTTGATATCTGCCAACTGTTAGTACCTCCCAGACAATCAAGTTAGCAAGCGCAAAACATACCTTCATCATCATCACTCATCTCCATCATTTTAGTAAGTTCATCGTATTTCTCTCTTCTCTTTCTGGCATCTTCAGCAGCATCTCTAAGAAGAGTAAGTTCAGAATCACTCTCTTCTTCACTATCAAGATCCATTCTGACTGAGACTAAAATCACCAATTAGCATCCACCACGGCAATCGTAAAATGTGAGTATAACACACCTTCCTCAGTTTTAGGACTATGCGCGGTTGAAGAAGGATTGGATTCTGCCTTCTTGTTGGAAGCATTACTCCATGAAGTAAACAGATTAGAAGGTCCCTGTCTCTTCTGCGCAGCTTTAGTTGTCGATTGAGAACGCTTCATCTGAGCAGGAGCAGGCTTCTTCTCTATTTTGGTCTCAGGTTCATGTTTCGCCTTAGTCTTCGTATCCGGGTTCGACTTGGCTTCAGCTTTTTCCTTCGTTCCAGCCTTCTCATTGGCCTTCGACGCTGTCGGGATAGCCATGGCGTGCGGTCTAACTGGGGGTCTGATGGGTCTTGGGGCTTTCTATAACTTAGTTAGCACAAATCCCGTGCCAGCAACAGGGCTAAGAGGCTCACGATCGCCAGATGATTAACTATCATGCCGTAGACTCTCCCCGCAGCCTGTTCATCCTCGTAAACGAATTCCGAGCGAACCCTCTCAGAGCAAGCTGACAACACACACAAATCTCTAATCCTACTCGGTCCAAGACTATAAACATGAACGGTCTTGATATTTTCAATTTCGGCTTTAACTTCTGAAATCCCCTCACGTTAGCTACTTATTCGCTCCCCCAAACCATCATCAGGAAAAACAAAAAAAAGTCCAAGAAAACAAACCTTCGAGTCTCTCCTCACCAACCAACCTGACAATCTTCTGATACCTAAACTTCTCCTTATTTTCCCGCGGCGTAATCTCAAAGGGGCTCCCGCTCATATCCTCATCCTCGTCCTCATCACCCCCGGCCTCTTCAATGACCTTCAGCTCGCCGGTGATGATGTAGGTAGCATAGATACTCTCATTATTCTTCTTATGACACCTGTGAAACTCGTAGAGCATCTGCTTCGCGACGTTGACATGTATTTCGAGTTTGCGCGCTAGGATGCGGTAAGTGACCTTCGAATTTTCTGTATCGTTAGCACAACGCGCCCCGAAATTTAGTCGGAAAAGAAATAAAATTGAATAAGTAAACCTTACAATCTCATGTTCATCAAAGATGGAAGATTCCAGGTATTTCTTGAAGTTGCCCATTGTCAGTTCTTTAGTCTCGGGGGTCGAGGAAGTAAAGATGATAAAGGCGTTGTTGGCGGGTTAGTTGAAAGTTTGACGAGGTAAATTGAAATCTGAGTTGACGCGAGGGAGAATGCCAAGATATGGTTCACCGATTCTGAGCCTCTCAGGTGATGTCCTCACGCGTTGCGGGGCTACCGCGCCCCCCCCCCGACCACTCTCACTCGACTGAAATTTGATGGTGGAAATATACTACAGTAGAAACTCCGTTAATTCCAGCGTCGGGAGTGACTTGGGTGTGGAATTAAAGGGAACATGGAAAGAAGGGGGGATATTGGCATAGGAAACCCGTCTCAAGGGCCGAGTGATATCGTGTGACTGTGAGGCGGGTGAACCTACATATAGTTGCATGTATGGAGAATACATCGGGGGAGTACAATTCTGGATACCGCAATTAATAGCCAAAACCCCACACTAGTTTTAGTAGCGAAGTGTGACGTGGTGTTCCTTTGTGTAATAGATTCTTGGAGTCTGTACTTTCCGTATCCTCTCTATTTCCTAGAGTGTTTCTAACACCGTTAGAGCACCTATATTGATTGCTTTATCCTCCAAAGGCTTCCGAATTAGTTCCCGGGTTACTGTCAATCCCTCCTCCTTCAATTCCTCGTCTGAACCTAGCACCTGCGAGGCTGGTCTGCTGTGCTCCCTTCCCCTTCCTGGACAGCTATGTACCGTACTCACTCTCAGCATGATTGACCATGACAACCAATTCTTGATCAGCCAACTCTCTAGTAATCCATCACTCAGATTCCGAACCAAGGGGACTGTAATCAGGTATAGGATCTGTATGCGTAATTCGCTGAAATACCGTTCAAGTGACTGTGCTAGTCTCTCTATCTAGGTACTTGTTCTTTTTATTAACCTAGTTTTTTGTGCTACTTTTTTTCTAACAGAGAGTCTTCAGATAGAACCTCCATACACCAAATAGTGCAAATCTACGAGCCCAAGAGTTAGTGAAGTGTTGAACGCTCTGGTAGCGGTACACATCAGAGGTTCCACTGTATCATACCTATTCTACGTCTTGGAATAACAGGTAAATTATCCCAACCGCAAGAGCCAGAAAAGAGTCTTACGATAGTACTCGTACATCCCCACTTCAATATCGTCATGTAATACCAGTAATGAGTTCTAAACCCACATAAACTACCACATCGGTTCACATCTGAAAAAGCTAGCCTTTATCCATGACACCAGTATGATATTTGCCAAGTGGAAACCCAGGAACCCCTACCGCTCAACTAGGTCACCTCCATGCAGGTACCATAGACACAAATTCCCAATTTCTACGAAACCCACTCACAGCGAGCACTGCAAGATATCCCCACACACCCCCAAATCAGATTGATAGTGTTTCAACTCGCAGGGAAGGGGAAATATGATAATTATTATCATACGCATTTAAGTTTTCCTTGGGAGAGGTATTTGGCAGAGAAAAACGTACCTACCAAGGTGCCCACCAAAAACCCAACTCCGCAAAAAAAAAAAATTCCTACTCGCAATCATACTTGTACCATACTAAAACTTTCCTTTACAATCTACGTCGGTGCAATTCCACCACAGAATCACGATCTATGGCAAACTGAAAGGATCCCCCAATTATCACTCGATCGACAAGTCTTCAGAAGCATGTTCACACACAGTACCAGGGGCACGATACACTGCCGTACAGTGCAGTGCCGTGGCATTCCATAACCCCACCTGTAACATCTATTAAGAATGCATGTAGAACTTGGAAAGGGGGGAAGAAAAAATGGATGGAGGGGGGGATGTAAGAAGGTTAACCTAGCACTGTATCTTAGAAAATGCTTTACTATACTCTGGGGGGGGTTCCTTAACACCCGGAGGATAATGGATAGGCCAGCGATCCCAATTATCTGATCAATCTCTCACGTTGCCTGAAAGAAATCCCGTAGACTATTCCATTCTACAATGCCCCAAGAGTCAAACCACCAACCCCAACTCCTTGAACTTTCACCCAATTGCACAAGTGAGAATCAAGCTCCGGAGGGAACTTTCACCATCCCAGCGAACTCATACAGAATTGTGCTGTGATATTTTCAATTCCGACTCGCGACTTTCCATTTGTTATTAATACCGTATTACTGTGACTCACTCTTGGGACATCATATCATACCTCCAAAAGACCTCCAGTTTCCACAAGTTCTAGACCCAAACCAGCAGGGCAGCTGGCAAGGATCTCGCTACCGTAGTTTCCAATTTTCAGCGGCCCCACAATTGTCCAGAGGGAAAACTTGGGGTAAAAAGGCCTTCTCTGCCGGTGTTGTACAGTGCTGTACTGTACCTTACAGCTGCAATTTAAATTATCGTTTACTGTCGGACCTCTTCCGGGGTAGGCAGTTTTCTCGGTGTGAGTTTTGGCGGAGCGGTTACCGGTACGAGTACTCGAGTACCGGTAGTCTATCTGGGGGCATGGAAGGTATAATATAAAATAGGGTTACCTTCGTTCACGGGATTTTGCCCCTGGGAGGGTCACAACCAACGGGATGTGGGGAATAATTTGTTTTTTTTTTTCTATCAATCGGTCTGGAAAAGTAGGGGGAATTTATCGCCATTGCTTGCTCCTTGTCTTGATAATTCTTCTCTCTCGTTTCTGTGGTAGTGGGTTCTAGAGCCATTCTGAATACCACAATTCCATCGATGGATTTTCGTGACGAACACCGGTAAACAGTGTAGCATGATTGCGAATGTCTGTGTTGATCACCATGAGTCGTTCCACGCACCTCACAGTTATGGTATTAGCATTGTAGAATACTGTAAACCACCCTATAATGCGAACCCTGATCTTGGTCATCTACAATATGATACCATCCTGGACAACATGATGCATCTATCGCAAGCAATGAAGGAAATTCAGTGCCATCGCAACTCAGGGTATGCTCAAATATCAAGTCCGAATTCAATACAAAACCCTAGCATCAAGAAATAGCATAGAAACAGTACAGTACAACTCCAACACAGTGCCAACACAGAACAAAAAATCACTTACAAAGTTACATTTTCTATCCGACAGCACTATGTGCAAGACTATGCTCCAACTTACAACCATAACAGGAAAGGAAATATTCAAACATAGGAGATGAGTAGACGCTGGCACATTTTGATGATGAAAAAGTAAACTATTCACTGATAAATAAGCGAGAGGCGCAGAATGTAGCAGAGGTATCAGCGATAGCTAATATTGGTACACTTCAGCCATACTGTAAGAAGAAATAGGGAACGGGGGAAAAAGAAATGGTCACAGATATGTTGGTATAGTACGCTTAAAAGTTCATCAAGTCTATCAGACGTTAGCAGGTCATTAGACGCACAGGAAAGGGAACTTTATCTCACCTCTGCCAAACAGCGCCCTCTTCCCCCAGTCCATAGCGAGTAGCATTCTCGTTCGGAGGCTGACGCTCTGAGCGAAATAGACAGATCTGGAGATCCCGGTTAGCTACCCACCGGATATCCGAAAGCTGGCGCGGCATGAGGGCTTACCTCCAGAGATACACGAAAATCAGTCCCCCACCAATGGACAACCCATTGAGGTCGAATACAGCTGCATTTCCTATATAAGCCAGACTTCCAAAATGTTTATACTCAAAGCCCTTGTATACCGCCTCATCCAGGTCTCCGTCGGTAACATTGTTCACGGCCAATCCGGGGGCAGCTTGCGCCAACTTGTTGAATTTGCGTGCTAGGTACTGCCCCTGCTGGTGTGCCCGTTGAGCTGTAGCAGGCAAACTCGTAAGTTTGCTGTCAATCTGGCTTAGTAACTCTTTGAGCTCGTCAAAGTCTAAAGTTCCGGATTTATCCACATCGTACTGCTCGAACAAGCGGTCCAGTCGTCTAAGATGATCGGTAGCCTGAGGAAACTTCTTCCTGACTCTTGTGGCCACATTCCTCCACATTCCAAAGTCCAAGGCCAGCTTCTCCGGGTCCGCACCCTTCTCCCAAGCGATTTGCCTCAAAAAGTGTGTTATGTGACTAGCAATATTATTTTGGACAGTGGAGCAATCTCCAATAGCGTAGACGTCTCCTAGAGGTGTTCCAAGTAATCTGAGATGCGAGTCGGTCTCTAGTGCATGCTTATTACGTTGTAACTCAAGCTGGCTGGCGATGTGCTCAGCAAAGTCCGTCTGGGCAACGCCGGTTGACCACAGGCACATGCCGAACGGAAGTTCCTTGGTGATAACCTTTCCGCTCCCCTTTTCTTTCTGAGTGAATATAACCCTGTCATTTTCGATTCTTGAGACTCGGGCATTGGTCAAAACATCGACTTGATCACGGGCGAATCGCTCCTACACAAGCTATTAGCAATTATATCGCGAAATTCTTCTGAATAAAGTACCTCTGCATATCTCGACAATGCCTCGTCATATGTGTTCAGGATATGGCTACGGGATTGTACGACATGAACGGACACCTCGTTCCGGAGAATTTTCGGATACTGGACAGCGTCTAGATTAGTCCTGTTAGAGAGCTGCGTATCCGGGAGCGACATACCACGAGAGTGAGGTCTTCATTCAGCATATCGAAAAGTTCCGCCGCAAACTCCACTCCGGTAGGCCCGCCCCCGCAAATCACAAACGACAGCAATTTCCTCCGTTCCTCATCGGTAGTAGATGGCAAGCAGGCTCTCTCGAAGCACTCAATAACCTTCGACCTAATCTTCCTGGCATCCGCGACATTCTTTAAAAACTCCACATTCTCCAAGCCCTCGACTCCATGTGTCCGAGTTTTGGATCCTGTCTCCATCAGCACGGGGACCCCAATTCCTAGAAACTCCTTACGCTACTCACCGACACCAATGACTAGCTTATCGTAAGGCAAATAAAATCTCCTCACCTCCCCACTAGGCAGCGTCTGGGAAACCTCCACTAACTTTGCCGAGAAGTCCACCCCCTCCGCATTAGCTTTAAGAAAGTGACCCTTCACCCTACTCGTGATTCTCCGAATCGGCTCAACCAAGGACCTGAGCTCCAACGTTCCAACAGTAGCGCTCGGCAGCAAAGGTGTGTACAGAAAGTAATTGCTCGGCGAAACGACAGTGATATGGTAATTATCCGGATTTATATTCTTCAACAGAGAAACTGATCCCCAGCCGCATCCCAGAACAACCAACCTGGGCTTATCTCTCTGCTTGAGCATTTCTTCACCGTCTTCGTCGTCCACCTAAGTCAGCTCCCAGGTGTCAGCTTTTCCGTCATTTTATCATACCCGCTCACTCATGAAGGGCGGTGGATGGGCAAAACGGGATAATACCAACACCTCCGCAATTGGCAAATTCTTAGGACCGCCCCTCCTGGGATTCAACGCCAATTCTGATACTCCAATGTCGTACTTCTCCGCCTCCTCTTTATAAGTGCTAGCATCGTAAATGAAAAATGCGACAACCAATCCCGTCGCCGTCAACCCGGCAAACCCACAGAATGCCGAGGCTTTGTAGACAAATCTTACTACTTTACTGCGTTTAGGTGTTTTTGAGCCATTGGAGGGGGCTATCGTTGCCGATGCCCGGGAATGCGGTGTGGGTAGAGGGCTGCTCCGTGCGGGGATGGTTCTTAACGAGGCATTGGATAATGGGGATGGTGACGCGCGCCGGGTATTTAGTTTTTGAAGGGTGCGGAGGAGGGGCGATGGCTTGAAGATTTGGCGGGTAAGTGGGTTTGTGTGAAAACTCGAGAGGACTCTCTGCCGGAGCATGGCTATGTAGGTGTTGGGGGCTAGTGATCGGGGGTATGGCTAGCTAATTCAAGGCAGAGGATAAGAATGAATGAGCTCGGAGGATGGAAGCTGCTGGTGGATAGGCAAATCCGAGGCAGTGAGGGGGGGGGATTGGAAGAGGGGGTAGACGGGCGTGTGGAGAGCAAAGCAATAGTAAAAACGAAATGAAGGACGAGAGGGGTATGATACAGAGAGTTAGCTGAGGAATTGAATAGGGAGGGAAGGAGGGAAGGAGGGAGGTGGAGGCAAAAGGGCACAATTTCTCGAATTCTCTTCTCAGCTCAGCTTGTCTTGTAATCAACTTCTCACGCCTGATGCGGTGGTGAATAAACTTTTCTGTTGCCTGTAAATTCAACTCATAGCCTTGCAAGCAATATTATACTGTAATCAACGGTATGATATTCCTCCACTTATTCCCTCACCCTTCCCTACCTGTCTCCCTTCTACTATGCAGCTTCCCCCATATTATCTCCCTGCCGGCAACTCGAGAGAAAGACCGATGGACGCAGCCTCTGGAACGGTTTCAGGAGCTTAGTCCGATCTAATTGAAGTAGGGGTTGGGCAGTGATATACAACTTCAATTTCTCCAAAGTGCATGCTGTATCTAAAGCTATCACAGCAAGAGCCATAGTAGTGCTGCAGGAGGGGAGTACGAGTAACTTAGTGTCAAGTCTGGCTCTGCAATTCTAGAGTACGAGTAGGATACCGGTATCATATTGTGATGTCACTACTACCCCAATAATGGGTCTGTGAGAGTCAGATCTCCTATGCTCGAGTCGGTTAGGATCGCTCCAGATCCTCAGTCACATCCAGGAGCCGCAGCGTTGCCAAGAACCCGCCATCTAGAATCTATGATAGATCTATCTTGAAACTCGAACTTTCTAACCTCCAACCTTGCTTCATCTTCCTACATACGTACCTACAGTACTGGTACCCTATTCCTTTCGTCTCCCGCAAAGCAATAGCCACGAGCACGAATCTCAACCCTTCGACTCTAACCCCCCCTATAATACTAAATCTCATACATCCTCCTAGTCCACCAAAAGGCCACCTCTACCCACTAACCTCTCAAGATGAACGCCCCAGATCGGTAAAAACGCTTCTCTCTCCCATCTCCCCTCCTCTACTCGTTATAGGCAACAAGTACCCGAACACTGGACTTTGAATCTTCTGGGTGCACTGATGCGCGCAAATGATTGATTATCACATTTATTTAATCCTGTGTTCGGATACTTTTGTCCATAACGAGTACCTCACGTTCCAAAACAGTACTCACCAATGACTAACAACCGCCCCCATCCCCCACCTCCAGCTTTGAGCTCTTCCTCCTCGGCGACGGCGAGACCAAAGTCTCCATGGAGCAGGACACACGCCAGCCCAACGCGGCCATCTTCACCTTCAACAAGGAGGACCACACACTGGGCAACCTGCTGCGCGCCACGCTCCTTCACAACGAGCACGTCGTATTCTCTGCGTACAAGGTGCCGCACCCGCTCTTCCCGAAGTTCGAGCTGCGCGTACAGACGGACGAGGAGACGACGCCGAAGGAGGCGCTACTAGCGGCCTGCCAGAGCCTCATTGGCGACCTACAGATGCTCAGTCAGAAATTGACGCGGGAGTGGGAACTTAATAAGATTGCGAGGGATACTAGTTAGCTGGATGGGTAGGTGGTTGAGGGTATTGGGGGAGGATTTCAAAGAGGATTATTATTCTCCGGAATTTGATTCATGAAGAATCGCGGGCGGGGGGTTTGGATTATTGGCGGTGGTGTGGTTATTTGTGCCTATCGTGTACTGTACAGAATGGATGTTTATGAACATGGGGAGTAATATTCTTTTTTGATTACCGAGCCCGGCGGACAATATGGAGTCGGAATTTTTGGCGCACATGAAAGGGTGCGAACTGTCTGTGGTGCTATAACTTCAATCCCCTTTCACAAATAGATATTCTCCGGGCCCAGGTAAATAGGGCACAGCACCACCTGGACAGCATCAGGCAGTTACTCGAGTACCGTAGTTAGGGTTTTATGCGCCCAACCATGATAATTATAATAATATTATCATACTTCCACAGCATGAGTTCTTTCACAATGTCATAACATCACCACAACCGCTAGCACCATCAGTGATAACTTTCATATCTGATTTTCATATGCGAAAAAAGCGCATACAGACCAGTCAATGACCAACCAACCAACCAGCCAGCCAGTCCTACAAATATCATATCACATAAAACCCCCGGCACATCCCATTCCATCCCGTTCCATCCCATCCCTCCATGACTACATAGCATAACCAGCGTCGTAAGCACCAAACCACAGCAACGATCATGCTCCCCGAATCCCCCTCATCCAAGCAGACAAGCACATAACGAGCGGTACCCACCCCTGCGTTAAAAAACAATAATGTATATAATATAAAAAAGGAAAACCCCCCGAAAAACACGAGATATGAGCAATATGGAATGACAATATCACAAAATAGCACCCGCCCGCCTGCCCACCGTCCCCTTAATCAATTCAGCCGGCCAGCCAACCAGCTACCGGTACACCACAACAGGAACTTGAGAGAGAGAGGGGTTTCACGCACAGCACAGCACAGCACAGCATACCGAAACCCTACAGACGCCAAGCTAAGCAGAAAACAGAATATGAATAGTGGAGAGAAACTGGAATAAGGAAGAAGCTTAAGAGATATGGAAGAAAAAAAAAAAAGAGAGAAAGAAAAAACCTTGGCTACAACTTAACCAAACAGGAAAAGAACCAGGGAAAGACGTCCTGTGTGATGGGTACAAGGAATGCGAAGAAGAAAAGACAAAACAAGAGACTCCCATGTCCAGCTAATCTACAATATTCGAGCTATCTTATGATGGCCAAACCGGGAGCTGATACGCACACTTCCCACCTTGGTCACCATTGCTTCGTATTCAGACAAGACATTCATCATCTATCAGCAACACCACGAGCCCTCACGCACACCGAGCAGCGGATAAAGCAAACAGGACAAAACATTAAACAGCCATGACCACCCTCGAATGCTCTTCAGTTACGTTACTGAACCGGATCTGCGACCCTCCTACCCACCCCACCACGCCCGATATGGCCGCCACCAGTATTCCCCCCTCCGTTATAACGGCTGTTCTTTGATCTCTGTTGAGAATATCCCTTCTTATTGCCTGTGCTACGCCTCCCATCACGGCTCAACACTTCGATGGATGCGCCTCCAGGGAGGTGAACAGGAATAAACCTTTTACCCTCCCCGTTGATGAAATCCTTTTGCCCGAATGGATTGAATATGTCGGTGGTCTGAAGCTGCCATTTCGAGGGAGGCCGCTTACTGTAAGGCTTTGGCAAGTTGGCGGCCGGAATTTTCTTCGAATGATTCGCATAAATAGCGGGGACGATATGAGGGAGTTTAACTGTAGGTGTAGAGCCAAAGTCACGCTCAAAAAGCTCGTGGAAAAATTCCTCGTTATCCGGCTTGGTGAGAATGGATTCCTCATAGACATCATGGCAATTACTACTACCCTCTTCACCATCTGACTGGGGTGGAAGCGAGACCGTCGCAGGCCTCGAAACAACTCTCTCCGGGGATCCATCGTATAGGGGTTTAGTTGTCGAGAAATCCCTTGATGCGGGCCCCTTTGGTGGTTGAGCTTGGAGGTTTGCTGTCTGCTGGGGGGGTGAATGTTTCTGGGTCATGCCCAGAATCTTCTGCTGCACGGCCTCAAAAGCCTGGACCCCCGAAAATTGTGGTGATTTGGGATGATTCGTCCTATGATATCCATTCATGTGCAGGGTGGGTGATACCCTTCCGTGCGGATGTTGATAATGCCCGTGACCAGAAGGGGGTAGTTGCACAACCCGGGAATTTATATCCCCATGAACTGGGTGCTCAGCGGACATTGGAGGTGGCGGGGAGCCTGGTGGACTAAGCGCCTTGGCAGGAGAGTGAGAGGATTTAGATTGAGTTCCCAAATGTTGGGCAATGAGATTGCCAGCCGCTGCCGGGAAGAATCGAGAGGCAGGCCGAGTCGCTGCTGGCCCAGTCGGGACGTTGGGAGCAGGACCCGTGGGATGACTAGATTCTACCCTGGTGTCTTCCATGCTAGTGCCTATAGTTGTAGCCAACAGCCCTCCAGGCAGTTTCTCAGCGGAGCTCGATTGCTCTCCCTCCTGAGAGGTTTCGGTTTTAACAACGAATTTGGATTCGGGTTCATCTCCATTTGTCTTTCTCCATGTCTCAACCAGCTTCGGTGGAACTATACCTGGTTTTTTTACGCCAGTGGCTGCTTCCTCTGCTTGTCTGGCGAGGTAGGCTTCTCGATCTTTTCTCCGTTGCTCAGCTTCATCCTCCAGGATTTTGCCGGGTAGAGCGTTCCAACGGCTAACAGCTTGAGCCCTGTCATACTGAGATAATCCACCACGGGAGAGTCCCGGGGAGGTCGGTGGGCCTCTGCTATTACGCCTATCATCCCTGGGATTCTGTGGATAAGCAGACGTAGGCGGCGGTGGTCTTGTCGAAAACCCAGAATATCCGTTATCGAACGTCCCGTTTCCAACACCATTCATGCCTTGAAACTTGGGTTTTTCGATAGGTCCCCAAGGATTGGGACCAGAGCCCTGGCTATTCTGTTGCGCACCGCCCCAACTGGTATACCTGTCATTGCCCGGAGACACGTGTTTCCATGGTTGATCCTTAGAATCCCTTATGGCGGGTATTGCAAAGCTCCTGTTTGGAGACCGATTTTGCATGGTATTCAAAGAGCGCCGACTTTGAGGTTGAGTAGGAAGATAGCTACGAGGATGCTCATATCGGTCCGATACGGGTCTGGCTTCGGCAGCCTTACGAGCTGCTTCTTCCTCTGCAGCCTTTTTCTCCGCATTGACTCTCTCTTCCTCAGCCTTTCTATCAGCCTCAGCCTTTTCCTCAGCCAATCTCGCCTCTTCTGCCGCTCGTAACTCAGCTTCTTTCTTCTCAAGAGCCTTTTTCTCTAATTCATCTAGTTTAACCTGAAGTCTCTCTTTCTTAGCGGCTTCTTCCTTTTCTTCCTCTTCCTGTCTGCGCTTCCTCGCGAGTTCACGACCTTCCTTCATAATCCGTTCCTGCTGAGCAACTAGATCTTCCATGGGAGTCTCTGGTATGGCTGGCTTAATTGGAACGGCTGCCAGAGAAGGGACTTCAATGTTAGAAGCTTGGTTAGAATTCTCGAATTTGGCGGGCAAGCTAGTTTGGTTATGATCTTGATGTGCATCTGTCGAGAAATGGCTTATGGGGCTAGGCCTTAAGGGAAATCTCCCATCTTCGGGGGTTGGGGGTTGTTCAAGCCCAAATTTGCTAAAAGACGGCCTCCTTCCAGTGCTCCCGCTACCACCGCTAACGTTCGATGATGTCCTTCTACGCCTATACTCATCGGGCCTATGGTGCATCATACTGCTTCGCTGTTGTTGGAAAGCTGGTGAAGGCTCGGCTGGGGGGGGTGGCCCAGTAGGGCGTTGCAAGACTGACGGTTTATCGACATTTCCTTCGGCTCTGGCTCTGGGGCCTTTGTTTCTAGATTCCTGTACGGGCTCAAGTTGACCAGTTTCAGAATTGTACAATTCCCGCTCTCTAGGCCCTTGGTTGTGATTTCCATCGCGCCAGGAGCGACCATAAACGTCTGCAGAAACTTCCTTCATTCCATGAGGCTGCCCTGAGGAGTGATTTGCGATAGACTCCGTTCCATAGTTGGAACGGCGAGGGGGCTCCATATCTCTTGATTGAGACACATTAGAAGCCAGAGACTGAACGGGAGCGGGAGGAACTTTTGCCCATGGTGATGCTCGGACGATGGGAGGAGGCGCCTTCTCAACTGGCTTAGAACTAAGTCTCTCAGTAATCAAGGTTTTGGGGCGGACTTCTTCCTTAGCAGTCGCAGGCAAAGGTGTCTTTGGCGGTGAGGTATCGGCAACATCAAGTGGCGCCTGTTCGACTTTTGCAGGGGGAGTCGGAGATGGGGCAATCGTAGGTGGGGTTGGCTCAACTGGGGCTAGCTTAAGAGCGTCCCCCCATTTCTCGGGGACTTCCGGCACCCAATCGTCATCGTCATCGTCAATATCAGCCCATTTCGCACCTGTACCTTCGGGGCCAAGTCTAGATGCCATATGAATGCCGTATTCTTTTTTAAGCTCTTCATCCGTAACATCTTTGGCCGGAGGTGGGGGAATTGCTACACAGAGTTAGTTATGACGCTCAAGGAGCAGAATCACTGAAAACTCACGTTGGTTCTTGTTCCAAACAGGCTGCGCCTGTTCGTTACGCTTTATACCAGTAGATAGAGAAGACCCTAGACCGGGTCTAGACGACTGCGAGGTCCCACCGGTCTTGACAAGCTTAAGTTTAGATACTGTATGGCCGCGAGGGGCAGGTTGGTGCGAAAACGCTAAGTTGCCTGCGCACAACACAAAGGAAATCAGTTTAAAAATGCCCTCCACGTCGCGAGAGGTATAGACCTTTGGTATTAGAAAGAACGGAGCTTAGTGGGTTGGGGGCGGGTCCACTGGTAGATGTCTGTTCCTTAAGAAAAGCCTTGTTCAGAGAAACTGGTTTGAATGTGGGTTTTTTGAGCGATGATTTTCTATCCAGAGGTCTGGAACCATCTGTCTTTGTAGGAGAAACACTTCCGGGTCGAGAACCAGGCGCGCCGATTGACTCCGTATCTACCTTCAACCCGGAATCGGTGGGACTGGTTCCATTCATGTGACCCTGCCAAAAGAGAATCATTAATTTCCAACCACGGCGACATGCACAATCAAGGTGAGGTGGGCTTACAATCGCATCCGAGTCCGCACCAACAGTTCCACTGCTAATACCACCCACTGAAGATGTTCCAATAGAAGGTTTATTGTCATTTTGGTGCGCAAGCACGTTATCGTTAATAAGCGTTCCGCTCGGAGCGGCGATCGGGGTAGATTTTGTGTTTGCATCAGCGTCGGTCGTCGAGGTCTCGACAACCGACTCCACTAAAGACTTTTCAACATTGCTGAGAATGTTCGAATCTGCCATAACAGTAAGAGGACCTGTAGGCATCAGCTTTGCGCAATACGAATACGAAATCCTAGAAGGGGGATTTTCGTAATAAGATGATACTAGAGAAGTGCATGTAAAAAGTTCCGAAGCCATGTTAATAGGTATGATTTTGAAGAAAAAAAGCTCCAACCTATTCAAATAGCTTGGACAGAGTCGCCAAAGTAAGTAGGCGCTATCAAAATGGATGTGCCACGAAGGGCCGCAGTAACTCGAACTATAAAGGGTAGGGTGAATAGGAATTAGCTTGGGGAACGCAAGTTGTGAGGTGCGTTTGGAAGTTTGCAGGAGAGGAGCGGTTGGTCAAAGTGGAAGGGGAGGGGGGGAACACTTGTAGAGGTGGTGGTGGTTGGGATGGGGAGAGAGTGGCCGACACAGCAAACTAGGGTTCGGAGCTTAGAACTAGGGTCACAAACCTTAACTATGAATAGTACGTGTAGACAGGCAGCTGCGTGGAACTATTACGAACTCGCCGGTATTGAATGAGGTAGTGATCAAGGAAATAGGGAGGAGTTTGAGGGGTTGATATTCTATTCTCCAGGAGAGGGAAAAGAGGGGGTATTATCTATGAAAGGTAAAGGGAAGAAGAGGGAGAATAATAGGAGGGAGGAGGAGGGGGAGAGGAGGAGATGGTGGGGAAGGGGCTGAAAGTGAGGCGACGATGGGGAAATGCGGTGATGTCGCTTGGGCGAAGGCAGACGGAGGGCGATCCTTAGGCCGGAGACGGGCGCCAAGATATTTAGCCAGGTAGGAACCAACAGACACAGAGCCGTAACATCGATGGCGGTTGATGGACTGGTGGATACAGGGACGTCAGATTAGAGAATTCCAGGCTCCAACAAATTCTTCCGGCTCTAATGAGTATAGAATCTGCCTACCAAGCTTCTCCATCCCCCCACATCTATCTCTTCACCACCCCACAATCTACCATATCTACCGGTAACTCTTCCACACTGTTTTTGGCACCGATCTTTCACTTTTCCTCAATCGGGACCACTGTCGGAACACAGTACCAGTTGCACACTCCCTGTTTCGTTTCAACCGTAACTGGAACCAACTAACGGTCCCAGTTGTCTGAACTCTTCAAGAAATAATTTATACAAAATAATAACAATACGAAATCTCTTTAAGGTATAATCTATCCTTTCACAAAGGATAAACTAAAAAACTACTACGTCTTCCATTCTTGTTTTTATTTACCGGGACGCTCACAATAATAGTACCATGGATCCAACACTGGTCTAGAGCTCTCTTCGTATTCCACTAATACGTGCCCAAACTACCGTTTTTTAAGTACAAAAGTAATCGCCCCTGAGCCTACAAGTGGATATGTTCTTATATGCGCCCTCCAGCAATTAATGAGCATTGTTCTTGTGGTGGCCTAATACAAATGTTAGTGGAAACTCGAATGACATATTGGGTGTAATGAGCCATACGGAGATGGAAGTAGTATGCCTGGCCATATCCTATCTATAAAACCAAATTCATTAGTCCCAGCTTTCATGTATTTTATACCAGGGTTGAGCTTGCCGCAATGAGAAACCCGATGACATGAACAATAGCTTGATGATCGTATCCATTAGTCCATATACACCGCAGAGGATTGAGACAACGATCACATACGCATGCCGCTTGGGTTCTTCCCAAAATACCTGGCCTGGTATCTCTCGAATGGGCCCGTGGGCTTCACCTCCGGCGCCGGACCTATGAACGGAACACCTTAGTACGAGGAGAGAAAAAATATGGAAGAGCTCCACATGTGACTTTATACGCTCACTGTTCCATACCTCTTGGGAGCTTGCCGTAGAAATCTACAACACGGGCCATTCGGGAGGCATCCTTCGCAGCTCCGATCTATTCCGGATGCGAAAACCACCAGTCAATTGGACCATTCCAACATTCAACCGTTTAAAAGGGTGATCGGCCCCTGCAGGTATTCTCAAAGGACGATGATAGGATGGAAAGGGGATAGAGGGACTCTTACACCCTATATAGACCGAATAGTTAGATAGGTAAACCAGGAGACTCCCGAAAGCACCGGGAAGAGGGGTAAACTCACCGATGGCGAGGCAACCTTCGGAGGGATGAGAGTAGAGATTCCACGGCGGAAAGCAAGAGACATGGTGGATATCGCGGGGTATAAATCGATCAAGTGGAGTGTTATTGCTGAAGATGTTTATCGAAAAAAAGAATCCGGGTGCAGGACAAAAATGTAATGGGAGATCCAGGAACCAATGTTGATGGTGGTTAGGGTTCGCCGCTTAACCACACACGCCCAGACGGATCCCGGGAACCGCTTAGTAAGCGCCTACGAGCGCCTACCCATGAGCACAACTTCCTGGACCGTGCGCTTCCCAAAGAAACCCGCAAAGCTTATCGAACGTCACCATTTCCCAAGTGTCAAACCGTCCTTCCCTTACCAGAAAATACTCCCCCCTGCACCTCCGCTCAAGACGCGCGCCCCTAGCTGATACTTTCCAAAAGATGCCATTCTTCCCTGCATCGCGGATGGTTCTCACTAGGCAAGCTTTGCTCCCTGTGTCCGAGTCGACCCTTTTTCTCCGTTCCAAGGGAACTACCGGTTCTCCCCCGCCGGAGAGCCCAAACAAGTCTGTGGCCACCACAACTCCCGCAGCAAACTCTGCAGTGGCATTCCCAAAAACCGGGTCGGAGGTACCCAGTGACTTCGCCACTAGGTGAGAAATGGCACAGCCCCCTCTTCTCGGTTGTGCCGTCGCAATTTTGCTAATTGATGACACGGTCACACATAGCGCATACTCCCCTATCAACGTCTTCCCCGCGCAGCGGAGCGAAAATGATGCGCTCGATGCTGCATCAATTTCTGGCGCTCCACTCGATCTGCAGGCAAGGATTGTAAAGATTTATAAACCTTCGAAGCCAGCCACCCAGTCTGGATATTGGAATGGAAGGCAATGGATGATGGACTGGGACGTCCTCCCTAAAGGTAGTGCCAGAAACCTGCAATCAATCAGCACGACTTGAGCGCTGACAGGGTTTTAGGCCATAGATGGGAGAACCCCCTGATGGGATGGCAGTCTAGCGGTGATTTCATGCAAGGAACACACATTTTCTTCAAGTCTAAAGAGGATGCTATTTCATTTGCTGAAAAACAAGGTACCCGGACTATGTGGAAATTTTCTGGACGTTCCACTGATGGGCTCATAGGTTATAAATGGTTCGTGAAGGAGCCCAATGAAAGGGCCTTTAGGGCTAAATCTTATTCTGCAAATTTCTTCGTATGTGTCGCTGCCCCCGCCCTTCTGACCACTGCTAATGGCGGGGCCTAGCATTCTCCTAAGAACCTCAAGATAATCCGAACCAAATAAATGTGACCTGTGGTTCATTTATCCACTAAAGCGCATCACCGTTGCTCAACATAGGGGTAATAGGCGGCCAGATTTGTATATAACCAATTTCTTGGTAGCAACTTAACTGTGTCTATTTGCTTCGTTGGTAGTCATGCGTTTGGCACTTAGAACTTCTTATATTTTTGAGAGTGGGGGTCATAAGATATGTGTTTTTGCATTGTTCATCTCAATACCGTGTAGGTACTTGTGTCACAAGGAAAATTTGCTTAGCTCGGAAGGCAGGGGGGAAATGATATTCAGATACAGAATACGGAGGATGGGCGTGGACTTCTACGACGACCCTAACATCAGACATAGCATAGGCCGGACCACTACTCAACAGGCGCCCACGGTCTGATCTAACTTCCAAAATACCTCTCGTCAATCCACCTTCTCTCAAATCCCTCCTGGATTTTCCCTACAATGATCTTTAGTTTTGGAAACACTTTCGTCAACCTCCTCAGCCCACCAAGACCAGCAAGATAAGTAACGAAGACAATCCTCTCCTCCTCAACGCCGTGATCCTTCAGCACTGTCATAGCCATCAAGGCCCCGGCCCCGGTCGCAACTTGCGGATCAAGTACTAGAACACTATCCTTGGCCAAACTCGAAGGCAGGTTCTGGTAATGCAACTCAGGCTCTCCAGTCCGAGCATTGGACTGGATAAGTAGTCTCCCAATCCTAGCGTCAGGAACCACCCTCTTGAGCCCAACTTCAAGAGTGCCTCCTGAGCGCAAGATAACGACAGCACTAACGTCTTTAGACAACTCCAATCCCGCATAGCTAATCCCCTGTGGGGTTTCGACCTCTTTAGACTTGAAAGCCAGATGATCTGACCCACGCTCGACCAGCAACGTTGCCAGGCGGTCGAAATAGAAGACGAAATCCTCGCGCGTGGTCTCTTCATCATGCAGGATTGTGTGCATCGCTCGGAGCTGTGGGGTGTCCTTTAGGACTTTGACGTTTGCCGGGAGGGGTTCGTCGGCATCGTGGCCTTGGCCGAGGGCCTGGAGGGTTTTGATGTGTTCGTTGGATTTGGTGAGGAGCGCTCTTTGGATGTGCTTCGTTATCATGTCTAGTTGGGGTTAGATTGGTCCATGGGCTGGGGAAGAGTGGTGGTGGACCTATTGCGATAGAGTTTTCGATCCCACGGGGGACCATGATGTCTATCTCTTCATTAATGGTGTGGTTTACTGGGGGCCATGCGCGAGCACTCACCCGCATTTCTCTTCTGCGGTTCGACATATAATTCGAAGTTTGGTTTAACGAAGGTTGTCCATTGCTTAATTGCCCCATGGATGCTAGTAGCGTTAGTTAGCCTATTCACGTGTCAACAGAAGGGCATTGGGAGATCTACTCTCTGCCACGGTACTTGATGTCTCGGGCCACTGCAGCAGTTTGCCTTTAGTAACTGTTATACTTTCATCGTAAACGGGGATGCCTAGAACCCACGTCTCCTAGCAAGGCAAACGTCTGCGTCCGTGTCGACAAATATCTTCATGTCCAACAATTCCAACACCCGAGGATCGTAAAGAGCAAAGATACCCTCTAAAATCAAGACATGGCAAGAGTAGATTGTCGTCGTCTGCTCAGCTCTCTGATGTTTTTCAAACGAATAGACCTAAAGTATTTCCAAAGCTCTCGCTTTAGTCCTACCTCCTACCGTGATACCTTGCCTATCTACATGCAGGACAAAAAGGATAACGTACGGGGATCTCCGCTTTTCTCCTGTTTGCTGTTCAGTTGGATGTGTTTTTGAGATTTGTATATTTTACAGGAAGAACGGGAGAGGGAAAAAACGCACCCCTGCTTTAGGTCCCCAAGCCTTTCTACCAATATGTCGAAATCAATAGAGTTTGGGGAGTCGAAGTCGTATTCATTCCTAAATGCCTGTGCGGATTGTTCCGGGTTCAGGGGCTTGTAGAAAGAGTCCTGTTGTAATCCCACATATCCTTAAAATCACGAACACTCTCTCTTATCCTTTCTCTGTAAATTGTAGGGAGATTTAAAAGTCCCCACTTCAGAGTAGGACGGGGTGATTTGTTGGAAAATATATTTACCATTGATAGAATAACCACCCATGGTAAGTTCAGAGCACTCACGATACGAACTGCAAGGGAGGTTTTCCCTGAACCGCTAGAGCCAGCAATACCAATAATCTATAGTTTGTTACAATGGTGGTTAGCTCATATATATGTATATTCCTCCATTGTGCTTAAGTAGTGTCTTAGACGGAAGGACTTTATACACACATGAGTATTTGCCCATGGGGGGTTATAATGAACGACCATGATGCGGGCTCACTTTGCAAACTCACCCCTTCCTCCAATTCGACGGGTTTGTGCAGAATGTGGGGGGGGGGGGCAGAGAGAAAAAGTCGACAAACGACCTGCTACGGGGGGATAATGAAAAGTAACAAAGTAATAAACGAACGTTATGATTGCTGTACTCTCCCGCGGGTGGTGTGGATATACGGTAGAGGAACTTTGCCTCTCCCCTTCCCTTTGTCTCTATCTCTCCCTAATTGCTTGCAGTCCTGCAGTTTGTGTGAGATTGCGTGGGTTTTGTGGTGGTGTTGAAGCACGCAACCGTCCAGGGGTTGGGTTTAAACTACCCTGTTTAATAACCTACCCACTTGTGTAGCCCGCATCACGTTGGGCTCGGTGCGTTCCCAATGAGGGACGTTCTTGGCGCTGTTCACATCCTTTTCCGCCTTATCGTCAATCAGATGGTGAAGACCATCTCTTTCCCCTTCCCTCTAAACTTTTTCTTCCTCACCGACGCCCTTCCTATTCCTCCGCCAGCCAGTACCGGTACTCTTTCACACAAACACGCCAACGTTAATCCGACCCGTCTCTCGTTTCTTAGTCTTACATCATCACAACTAATCCAACCCTTCCATTTTATCCTTTTCTTTCTTTCTTCCCTCCCCTCTCTTCCCTCCCTCTTCTTCCTCTCTTCCCTTTCCCTCAACATCCACCCGTTTGGGTGCCCCTCCGTTACCCGGTAAATATGGTGGGTTCCAAATTCTGAGGATGTTCAAACTCCCTATTTACTTATTGAAATCTTTGGTGCTTAGAGTCACTCAACTACTACCTCCTCGCGCAAGGCCCCTGGTGCGGCGGACTGGGAGAAGAAGGTGGATGAGGTCAAGGTGTCCAAAGCGTGGGTTCTGAATACACTTCTTTCTATTGTTTTCCCTCCACCCTCCCCACTAAACATACCGGACAAAATGATGCGATCTGTGCACAAGTTGGGAATCTCTCTGAAATTTCCATGTTAGAGAATATGTTAACTTGCCTTCTGATAATGTCCTTGCTTGCCGCTGGCGTTTCTTTTCCCCCTTACTTCTTATCCATGGGACGGAGCTTCAGGTTCAAGCGACTAATCCTTGGAATTATAGAGACCTTAACACCTTGGTCATGAATTATCTCATTATCGAGGGGTATAAATCAGCTGCTGTCAACTTCGCTCAGGAAGCGAATATGTCACCTCAGGTTGACCTTGATTCTATCCAAGAACGGGTTGATATTCGCCATGCAATCCATCACGGGGATATCCAGACTGCAATTGAAAGAATCAATGAGCTTCATCCAGATGTCAGTGAACCCCCCAACCCTGAATTCTCTGTTTCTTGCTTCATACATACTTTTTTTGCGATGATTACTTTCGGAATAGCTCACTGCATCTTCGGCTGGTGATGAAAAATGTGGTCAAAACTTCAGTCTTCAACATGAGCATATCTCGTTAGATTTGTTTTCGATTCTGACATTTATAAATCTACGGGTTTTGCGGCTTACTAATATTTCAAGTCGGCATAGCTTCTTGAGACGAACCTTCCTCTACATTTTTCACTCTTGAGACTTCAGCTTATCGAATTGATTCGAAACTGCACCCAATCCCCTGACGGTGACATCTCCGAAGCGTTGGCATTTGCTACAACTCATCTGGCGCCTCGAGCACCCGGCAATTCAAAATTCTTACAAGACCTTGAGCGCACAATGGCCCTTCTATGTTTCCCGATGGAAAACCTGGCTCCTCCCCTCGCAGAACTGATGGACCCAGCACTGCGAAGACAAGTAGCGGCTAAAGTCAACGAAGCGATTCTCGAAGTACAGGGCGTACCCAAGGAAGCCAAGATTCGCCGCCTGGTCAGATTGAGGGCATGGGCCGAGCAAAGGATGAGGGATGGTCATAGAGAAGTGCCTAATATGGACTTGGGGTTAGATGTTACATCACAGACATCTCATGATGCGATGGGAGTCTAATCGCCCCAGAATAATGACTTCAATGAAATGGGTATGGGAATACTGGTGTCCACTGATGTTTTTTTCCCTGTTTTTTCTTTTCCATTCTTTTTTTTTTTCTTTTTTTTTTTTTCTTTCTTTCCTCGCAGTGTTTTATGGAGTTGTGTGTGTTATCTACTATGGTGCTCTTCTCTTTCTCTCACGTCGGCATTGGGGTTGGAATGGCGTTCTCTACTGGTGCAATTGTAAACATGTTAGCTTAAACAAAAAACAATTGTAATGACTTTAACGACTTTTGCTGCTGAACATTACCAACTCAATTTATTATGCCGGTATCACACCTCTTTAACAGAAATAAGTTGAGAATAGGGGTAGAGGCCTAAACTGTTGATCACGATATCACACTCGTGACTTGCAGGCAGAGACGATTGTCAACTGCCCCGATAAAAATACCGGTAGGTTAACTTGGCACTTCTTGGCACAACTAGCAGACCGGCCGCAACGGAGAAATTTCAGAGCCTCTTCAAAAGTCTCAACCCTTTCAGTCATCTCCAGCCCACTATGCCACTTCTCACACATCTCCGAACCACAAAGAGGCATACCATTTAATCACCGACTATGGCAACTACTGCGCTTTCAAGAAACTGGAAGCAGCTCCAAGAGACACTGAAAAAATCCTCCTCCACCACTCCCACCAATTCTTCAAAGCGCAAGTCTTCATCGATCGAAAGCCCCACCAGCAGCAGCAGCTCTACAATTACAAGGGCAAAAAAGGCAAAGCGAGCAAGGTGAGTCCAAACAGCACACCCCCCCGCACCCGACGTGCAAAGGCACGTGTCACCCTAACATACACAGAACCCCAAGCAGCACTGCCGCCAACCCCGCCAACCCACCCTTGATACCACGAGCTTCCAAACCAACCCCAACCTCAAAAGTATTGAAGATGTCCACTGCCGCCCCAAAACCAACCTCCTCGGCGCTGGCGCTCTGGGCGGAAGATAATGACATCTCCCCTGCGGATCTGCAAAAAGCATACAACCTACCATTGACCAGCACCACCCTTCCACCCCCCACCGGTTCGGCCATAGAGCCCGAGGCGTCGGGGTCGCCCTCGGCAACCGAACCCAAAAAATACATCTCACTCGATTGCGAAATGGTCGGCGTGGGTGGGCCTACGAACGAGCGCTCCGCGCTCGCCAGAGTCTCGATAGTCAACTACCATGGGCATATAATCCTAGATACGTTCGTGCGGCCGAAGGAGAGGGTTACGGACTGGAGGAGTTGGGTTAGTGGTGTTACGCCTGCGCATATGATTCACGGTACCTTCCCCGTTCTTCCTTGCCTGTTGCAACATAGCTAATGCCATGGTCAGCGAGGGAATTTGAAGACGTACAAAAAGAAGTATCGGCCATTCTTGCGGATAGGGTTCTTGTCGGGCATGCGGTCAAGTATGATCTTGAGGCGTTACTGTTGAGCCATCCGAGGAGGGACATCCGGGATACTAGTCGACATCCCGGATTCAGGAAGTTTAGTGCTGGACGTACGCCCAGATTGAAGAAGCTTGCCCTCGAAGTGCTGGGGATTGAGATTCAGGGCGGGGAGCATTCTAGTGTTTGTTTATCCTTTCCTCTCTCCCGATGGTGGCGGTAGGGGGGCTAATGGGTAGGTGGATAGGTCGAGGACGCACGAGCTTGCATGCTACTATACAGAAAATTCCGCGATGAGATTGAAAAATTGCATAAACCAAAGGCGCCAAAGGGTGCATCTGCCAAGTCAGGTGGGGGGAATGGGAAAAGGAAAAGGAAAAGGAAGGCTTAAGTATTATTTATATAATGGGCTTACCCAATGCCTTTCTGCCTTCTCGCCTGCTTGTATTAATACTGGGATTTTAACCAGTCGGTTCGCCCACAGTAGTAGTTTCTGCGCAACTATATGGTTCATAGCAATCTCAAATTCCATCATTAGACTTTTCTTTTCTTTTCTTTTCTTTTCTTCTCTTTCTTCCCCTTCTTGTTTTTTACCTACGGGGTAAGATCATACCAGTATCGCTTGGCAGCTATCGGTCAACAATAGCAACGAAAGAAATGAAAATGTGAAAAAGTAAAACATGTGAATCATAAAGAAGTGTCCTCATACTGTGAAGGTAATTTCATCCAGGATCTCGGCTTTGAACCCTTCCTCGCAGTGGACAAAGCATCAGTCTGCCAATCTGTAGGGGAAAAAAAATAAACCTCACCTCGGGCGCATACGCATGGGATCAGCGGTCTCCCCAGTTAGTTATCATTGCTATAATAAAGGTTATTGAACTATTGAAAACCTTAACGTCCTCCTCATACATCTCCGGGTATTCCCTTCCAAAATCGGAGACGATCCCCCCGGGGAAATATATATTCCGATAAAACTTTCTTTCTCGGTTAACGAGATCCGGGGGGTATTCATTGTCCTTTGTATATAACCCTCCTGTCTCTGCGAATGATCAGTCATGATCGAGGGGAATTCTGCGGGATCACAAATTGAACTATCATACAGTCTCCAACCGCACCGTACTGTAATTGCACCCTCGGGCATAGTGCCGTAATGCACTGGAACACAGCGATGCCACGGCCAACCCTGGGCGTTAAATTCATGATTTGGAAATACCTTTCCAAAAGATACTCCCCTCCACAGCAGCTTTGAGCATTTCTACGCTAACGACCTTATTGAACCTCCCCCACGGAGCGGGAACAGCAGCGTAATCGCAGAGTAGCACGATAATTCTGTCGGTCATGCCCGATCGCTTCTCAGCGAGGGACCTTCTGCTCCACGGATAGTGTTGTTAGGGTGGTAACCCGTAACCCCCCCCGACGACGGTATTACCATACATACACTAGTGAACACCCAGAGGGACTTTAGAATAAGAATAGTGAAGCAGCGTCCCTTCCATCAGACAAACACATATTCCCTCGCGGTGGGCCAAAGGTAGCAGCTACCCCCCTCCCCTCCTCCAGAACCCAGTTTCAGCTGTTGTTGAGAATGTATCACAACACCCACGACGGGTTCTCGCACATCCCTTGTAGAAGGTAGATAGCCAGCTAAGTCGAAAAATGTCCCTGCAAGGGTCATTCCAAAGGAACTCATTCTGGGGGAAATTTCCACACGGTAAGTTAGTTCGTCGGATACAGCGCCGTCTTAGAAGGGGGAGTGCGGATCTACCATACATTGGGAATCAATTCTAGGTGAGGGGGGAGGGATCATGATGTGTCACTCGTACAAATAGCTAATATAATTATGATACCTGCTTTTTTCTTTTTTTTCCTACAATTTCTCAAAGGGTATTATTATTTTAGTAATTGGCTACTCACAATTCTTTGTTTCGAACCTAGAGGAACTCCCCCCCCCCCACTCGAATAGGCGTTAGGCACCGTTGAGGACTAATGGCTTTACATGCATACAAAGTGGTCATGGGGTTTCTACTATGCCAGCTATTATATCATAGCCTGCTGACAGCTTGCGAAGTCAGAAAGTCACGCGGCGCCTACGAGTGTCTAGTTATTTGGTTATCTGGCTCTCTTCCATGTTACCGTAGCACGCACACCACGCCCGACAACTAGAGACGATAGACGCTTGGGTTTCGCCCGACTGAGTACCACACCCCAAGGGCACCAAACTCCGATATCAAAACTCAGCTCCTACAGAGAACGCGGGAGGGCAATCCGATTTCCTCCCAGGTTCCAGGCCTGCAGCTTCATCGTGCAGCAGCGCTCTCTAATGGCATTCCTGATCCTTATATGTGAATTTTTGTGGACCTGGTATGTATGATATATAGATATATATCGCTAGGTTTTTGTGGGCAGGTCTACTTGTAGGAGCGCAGGAGATTTTTCACCCCAGAGTCTGTGCTGATCCTTAGCCTCGGCCGTGCTATGCAGTACTGTGCACTGACGGTTGGAGCTCTGCTTTGGTAGTCAGGCCGGGTATCATGGCATCTGCTTATTGATTTCTTTGGCTCTCATCGGCTTCCGTATTTATAAGTGGTGACATGCTGTGCAAGTACTTGCAGACTCTATGCAGCTGCCATGCCAACTCCCCTACTATGCTATCGCTTTCTTGAAAGAATCCATAAACCAACGAGACATTTGACAGAAACCCAATTATGTCGCTTTTCTTTGGGTCCGCATCTGTTCCACGGCCCAACGGCCCCACAGCGTAAGGTCCGGGTGCAATGCTCTCCATCTCAGCAGGGTGGTGGGGGGTACACAAACGCCCTTTCAATGATCACTTAGACCGCTTTGTTCGGCACGATGTAGCCATCATAACTCAGATCCATCTAACCTTCCACCCCGCGCCACTAGGTACCCACGGTTAATCTCAGCTAACCTACTCCGGGTATCACACAGAACGGAAGCTCAGAAACGCACCGCATATTCCTCGCCGATTACAAGCTGGTGGGAAAGAACTTGGAGAAGCTCTACCGGTACTATACAAAAGCAGCAAAGATTTGCACCACCTATAGTACCTGGACGCTTCCTGAAATCCTACCGTTATACCACCATACCCGGAAAAGCTGGCATAAACTACTAACTTCGGATTCACAATACAATACCACAATCTGACTTCCTCCTTGTTGGTAAACCCCCATCTCGTGACGCTCGCATGATGTTCATACCGGCTCAAAAAGTCATGGTCTATCATACAGGGTGCAAGCTTTCCCCACAGTGAACCTCCCTGTTGAACCTTCTCCCCCTTCTACTGAGTTCTGAGAATAATCTTGCGTATGGGCACTCGCATTGGACAATTCCTCCATGCCAATACCTGACCAATCGCCAGCAAGAACCACTCCGCAAGAATTTTCTCGCCGATTGGAAAACCCCCTCGCGAGTACGATACTAACAAGCATCAGTCGTATCAGAAGTCACCCAGGTCCATTATATATAGCCCCCACTAGCCAGAACCGCCGTAGACCAACTTGCGGAATAGAGCAAAAAAAAAACCATCCTCCCCATCAATTCACTCCTGATAAGATCTTAAGATACGCCAAAACAGCGGTATATCGGAAAAGGAAGTTTTGATATGTCGATATACCGCTAACCTCGCGAAATCAGGGAGTTTGAAGACGATCAGGTAGATAACAGTGGTTGGCTCGGATCGGATTGAATTGGGAAAAAGGTTCAATAGGAACGCTACTAACTTACCCAGCCCTTCTATGATAATACCAACCAACCAGCCAACAGCACCCCCTCCCAGCGATGATATTCTACTCGTACAGTGCCCGGACACGGAGGCAGTAAAAACCGAGCAAGGCTGGAACAATAACAAGGAAACCTCGGGAACCGCGTACTTGTGCAGGGGATGACATGTTGGAAAAGACGGGGGGAGTCAAGGAAGTTAAAATGCCAGAATATCAACTGCATCTCGATCATTGTGAAAGTCCAGAGCCGGCTGTTACCGCCCTCATTGAAAGACTTTTTCACAGTCCCGAATCTTGGATAGTAGTCCCCCATTCCCTACAACAAAGTGACCATACCAATTTCGCCTCCATACACATTCAATCTTTAACAAAAGAAAGGGAATCATCAGTCCCATACCAACCTCTCAGCACAGTAACTTCCTTGCGAACGACAGAGCCATTTTACTCGTACATCCATCCCCGAGCACAAGCACAAGTGTATAGTATATAAACGCGGTAAATTTATTATATATACAAGCATTACCCCGGAAACGGGTCGGACCGATCGTACGGTTACTGTAGATCATTTCCCACCGGCGCAGTACTCGAGTGCGTGAATCCCGGCCGGATCTGCACTGCAACTGCGAACCGCCCCGCCCCTCGCGCAAGAGAGAGAGAGAGAGAGTTCGGGAAAGGTGAGTTCGATTGGAGTGACTTGTAGTCCTGTCCGGAAAGTGATAGTAATTCCTTGGTGGCTCAGCCCCGTGAATTATATCAAACTTGATGATTACTACACTGCACAAATAAATTGGGAAATAAGCTCGAGTAAATGTCGTGGTAAAATATAGATAGGTATAACTTTATATAAAAAAATTTAATAGATACTTAGACTTATCAAAATTTAATAGTATATTATTATCATTAAGCGGTAAACATTTTAGTAAATTCTAAAATTAACAAAACTAGATTGTTAGCTTCCCAACTTTTAGGCTTACTTAATAATGTTCATGCTGACAGCTAAGGCGACCCTGTCTATAAGTTACTAACTATATTTTATTTTATTTTAACGCAACCTAGTACGAGTACAGTACAGGTATCCTTCTCTCAACTTAATTTTTCCTATTTCACCCACTAACTAACCAACTATTTAACTGGTCGGTAACAGCATAGTCTCCGCTTTGTTGCAAAACCCCCATTGCAATTGTAGAGATATCATTACCTTCTTGATAGTACTGTGCTGGGTAGTTAGGTTTTTCAGTTCTTTTTCCTAGTGGTTAAGTTACAACCGGCGGATGAGTTATGACGCCGCGTGTGCGGTACTGTACTTGTACTCGTACGGGTACCTCGTTTGGTGCACCTTCAGGTCTGATAAGTTGTTGGATTGCATGGGCTGTATGGCATTTTACATACAAGAGAGGATCAACATAATTTCCCCACTCAGTTGCATGGCTTTTGTATATACGCACAAGTTAACCAACCGCAGTACAGTATCATACCAGCAAATGAAAAAAACGTGCACAGCCCATTCACACAAAACGCCGTGGCTCGTGTCTGCCCAATACCCTCTCTAGTCCTCCTCGCACTCGAACAGGACATGCAGCCGGTGCCTCGGCCATTTCGAACCCTCATTAGCCACGCCGGACACCCGATAGGTCAGCGGAACCTCATCACCACAAACGCCTCATCGCAGGACTTCCGATAAATCAATCAGTCAATCAATCACGTAGCACGGATACGATGGTGTGATGAATCCTTATTATATTGTTACAATGATCAACCAGAAATACTTCCCTTCCATCTATAGTTTCTATATACTTCACCTATGGGATAGCTCAGGAAAGGAAGAAACCTAAACCACCCCATCAAGTGATATTAATACATGCAAAGAAATAAATAAATCGAAGCAACCAATCTATGCTACCAGCACCGTTTTTTGTGTAAAAAAGGAAAAAAGAAAGAAAAAAAAGAAATTGATACAAAAGGAAGATAAGAGCGATAGCCAGCGATTCCCCCCAAAAAAGAAGGAAAAAAACCCCATCCCAGCACCCAAACGCTCATATGCCTTCCGTAAGCTAGGAAATAAGTGGTAGAAAGGTAATGAAATTATAAACCCCGATGTGGTAAGAGAAAAGCTCCATGAGCAAGACAGGGAAATTGTCAAGGAAAGTGATGTTGTTTATTAGACGGCCGAAGGCATCCTCCAGCTAACCAGGTCTTCCCTAGCCCTCAACTCGTCCACCTCATAGGCGCTACGAGCACTCCCCGAGCTACGGCTGCTCCGCTTTCGCTCAACCTTCGGTCCCGTAAGGTTACTCATTATGCTGAGAGTATCGCCATCCTTTCTCCTTCGGGCATCCCTGGTGTTGGTATGGCGCTGCATTGCCGCCTGGTTTGTTGAACTGGCTCCACTAGCGGCACCTGCACTCACAACACTCAGAGAATCACTGTCGCTGCCTTTACTGCTCCTGCTCAAATCGCTCTCATACCGAACAGATTTCGCTTTGCCGGCTCTACCGCGCTCAGATCTAGGGGTCCAACCATCACCGCCGGCGAATATATCTTCGATACACTCTTCGGGATGAAGTTCGCCCGCTTGAAGCTGCCAGGATGCCGCAAGGGTACAGCGATACATATCTTGAATTGCACTTGTTTCCCGTTTCTGAGATGTCGCAACTGTTGCATCTGTCGCATGTTAGTTTCACTGGAAACGTGGGGTTTGTGTGTGTCACCGACTTCCGGGATCTTCTTGGTTTTGCGATTCCCCAATAATGCCTGCAATGCCACCGAATACTTGTGCACCTCTTAGCATAGGGCTAAATTAAATTGTCAGCCGCGTCCATTCGCCGAGATCCTCCAGGAAACTAACGATTCAAAGTTCGGATCTCCACCGGTTTGCTCCAGAGAGATTGAAACCTGTGGTCAGAGTCAGAGAATGGCTTTACGCAAAACTAGCCGCGAACCCATGGGACAGTCTGAAACAGCAGAGTTCGCAACATGGTGGCGTGTCACTTTTCCATGGTTGTAATCGAGCTCTCGCTGGTAGATGAAAGGAAAAAAGGGAAATCATGCGAAAACCTTGCCAGTAGCCGAGTGATTTCAACAAATAGCAAAGTCACTCATCCACCCGGTGGCGAACCCTGCTGTTCCAGACCGGCCCGGGAATAGAAATACCCACCTTCAGCGTCGAGTTGATCTTACTGTCCTGCATCAGGTACCTCCTCGTCTCCTTATTCACACGAGTGTACTCAGCCAAGTTGAGGGTAACAGAGCCGAGAGCTATTCGTTCGCGAGCGCCAGCATATTCCTGTATTACTTCGAAAACTATAGGTAGCTCCTGTAGCATACCACTCCGATCGACAGTCATGCGAACATTGGAGCAGACCTGCTCGTAGCACCAATTGACTTTATGCTCCTTAATGCCCTCTTTATTTGTTCGACCGCGGAAGTCTGCGCGAGCTGTCCCACCGATGTGCCATTTAACGTATGCCTGACCGGAAACGAGAGGGACATTATTGAGATCATGAATCTAGTTTGCCGGTAATTAGCTAGGTAGCTCATGGCTAGAGAAACAAGAAGCTTTCTTACTTCTAGAGTGAGGTCAAACCTAGGCTATAAGCCTTAGTTAGCATAAATCTTACCAGAAGCGAGGCAGAAACAAGGTGTATCGTACGCGGCGGTTCTTGGGAACTATCAGGCCATCAAAGGATAGGTCCCTGGTCAGCAAACCTCGCCGTAGGGAGGAGGAGGAGGACGAAGTGGAAGAAAAAGTAGACGAAGGAGTAGGCTGCGGCATTGGGAAGGTGGTTGTTTGCTCAGTGGAGGTGGCGCGGGGGAATAGAATGGAATAAGCGGAAGGCATACCAAGGGATTGCATACCTCCGCCCGGAATTTGTCAGGCAATGGAAGACGAGGGGGAGCGGATAAGACGTGTGTGGGAGGATCAGCGAGTCATGACATATAAAGCAAATCCGGTAGGGCGGTCCGTAAGTATGTAGGAATATGTATGGTAATGTATAGGAGGGGGGGTACTGGAGTATTGTTTATGGAGATGTGGGTGAGTGTGTGAGTGCCCCCCGAGTGAGTAAAGAGGGAATCCGGGATTTTTGGAGGGCGCGAAGATTGCCAAATCCGACGGATGAGGGCGGATAAGGAGGGAGGGGATAATACCGGTGCTCGAGTAGTAAGAAAAAGAGAAAGAGGAGGGAAGAGGGGGTTAAAGCGTTAGGTGGGGACAGGAGATACTCCAGTAGTTTAGCTGTGAGGGGGGGGGGGCGGGAAAGGTATGACGGGAGAGAAAACGGTGAATTGTAGTTGGTTGGCAGGATTTACTTTTTGTTAGCAATAGGAAGCTACGAGGACTACCGGTACAAGTATGTTGCACTTGGAAAAAGGGAAAGGGAAAGAAAGGGAAAGGGAAAGGGAAAGGAAAAAGAAAAGAATGGATGGAATGTATGATATTTCCAAAACTCAATCAAGTATGTATTCTGTGAAATAAGAGTGCAGGGATGGTGAGAACCAAAGGAAACGGAAGATTGGGGCACAAGTAGGGGGGCTGACAAAAGTCGGGCACCTCCATCAGGAGCTCTGCCATTTTACATGTATGATATACTAAACCATATCGGGAATTTCGAGTGATAACTAGTGAGTATTTTTTGGTGACGGCAAAAAGTCATGACCACCCAACCCAACTCCCAATGGAAAAGTGGCGATTACCGCTCGCCGGATAGGTAAGCGGTATCATAGCTATGATAGGATAGATTTACGATACAGTATTAAGAACAACACGCTGGGTGAGGGCTTGTGTTGCCGGGCCCCGCGTAGCAGCCCTTACACACGGGCACGGTGCTCGATTAGATTATGTGGAGGATAAACGAAAATGTGAGAAACAAAAGAGGTAAAGAGATACACCCGTACAGTACTCGTACTCCAGTACGGCATGGTTATCATAATTTACAGTAGAGTGCAGAAAATGAGATGTTGTTATTTTGTGTGGCACCAACCCTGACCAGTGATCACATACCCTCCCTTCCCTCAAACCCGCCAAGCTGGGATCCTAATTTGAGCCTCAACCCGTTCGACACAGAATACAACCTCAGTTCATCGTCCCCCCTTCTCATCATATCACCACATCCCTCCGGCTGAACTGATTGTCCAGTTGGAAATCATGTCTTCCGCCTTTCCCTCTCTGAGAACTCGTCCAACGCTACCGGCTGTTGGTGTGTCCAGGGCAACATCGGTTTACCTCCGCTCTTCCTCCATCGCCCCGGTTCACAGCTCAGTCACATCCCTCAATTCATTGTTCAACCAGGCAAGCCTCAGTTCCCCTAGGTCGCCCGAAGACGAGGACTGCAAAGGCTTGGTATGCCGCGCGTTCGTCCCATACGTGGCCGTGCATGTATCCGACGACACAAACGAGCTTGCCCGGGAAAAGGGTTTTGTGGATTTTAAAGACATGCTGCGCCCCTATGGTGAAAGCATACAGGGGAGGATAACCATCCGCGACTCCCAGGGCATCAGCACAATGCACGACGACTACGGTGTCCGCTTCGTGTCCCTGACCGACGTGGCCGGTTCTGGGGAAAAATGGGAGTCCGGGGCCTCCAGGGCCATGAACGGCTCCTCGGAAAAGGCCGCTGGCAGTGGGAGCCGTGTCTTTCAAGGCGGGAGTGTGGAGGAAGTGGAGGATCTGGTCAATCTGCATATGGAGAGGGCTGAGGAGCTTAACGAGACATCCCTGCCTTCCGACGGCGACACTACGGCCTTCAACCAGTCTTTCTACATGCTGTATTTAAGGCGGATATTGTCGGCACTTCCCCTGTCGCCTCATGAGACTTTTTCGCATCCGGTCGCTTGTGTCATAGCCATTTCGTCTAGAAATGCTAATCCTATAGACAGTTTACGAAATCTCTATAATTCGGGAAACCATCTTCCTTTACCAGATTATCTCAGTACCGATTATCTACGGTACTATGTATTGGTTCATGACGAAGACCGGGATGACATCAAAAAGTCAGTAGGCTACTCTTATCTCCAATTGAGATTTCCAATCGAGAGGTTGAGATGAAGCTTATGAAGCCTTAGATCTACCCTATTATTCGATCAAATGAAAAAACATTTCGGATTGCATTGCCACCTGCTAAGATTAAGGTCCGGTGGTGCTTCGGTTATATCCGACGATGATGCAGTCGTTGTCCCAAAAAGTCAATGGATATCTGCTGCTGAAGAGCTTCACGAAATCCGTTCAAGGGGTAATTCCTATGGCCCAAACACCGAAAGAAAGATCCATAATCGCTAACGGACCCGTGCCAGACTACGACGACGAACAGCCAACCACCTGCTTACCAGACTCAGATGCAACCGGCATCCAGACCATGGTCCGTGAAATGACCCAAGTGAGCGTAATACCATTCATGGAGCGCTGTATAGCAACCTGGAATGACCAGGTCGCGTCCCGAAGACGCGGAATCAGCGGACGCTTCCTCTCCATGTCAAAGCGATACTTCAGCGCCTCATCTTCCAGAAACTCCACCTCTTCATCATCAAATTACGATGCTCTGAATCAATCATACCCCCCCAGCTCCCCCGAAGCCCAGATGCGAAAATTAGCAGATTATGCCTTCATGGTGCGGGACTGGCGACTGGCACACAGCATATACGAGCTTCTAAGAACAGACTTCAATAATGATAAAGCCTGGAAGTACCACGCCGGAGCACAGGTATTCCACCCACCTAAAAAAAAAATAGGAGCCTCCAACTAATAATCTCCCACAGGAAATGGCCGCAATAAGCCTAATCCTAACAGGCACGGGCCTAACCTCCAAGGTCCGCGCGGACACCATCGCCCCAATGCTAGACCTAAGTTGCTATTCCTACCTCTCCCGCTGCTCGGCAACCTACCACGCGCTGCGCTGCCTCCTGGTCGCCGTAGAACTCCTGCGCATCCGCGGCGGCGGCGCCGCCGATGAAGCCGCGACCTGGGCCATCCGCGCGCGCGACATGAACGCGCAGGGCACGATCGGCCACGCACTGATAACAGAGCGCGTCGGCGCGTGCTACACCATCCGCGAAGGGATCGGCAGCGGCGCCTGGGGCGCTAGGAAGCGCAAGGCCGCTATGTGGAAGATGCTCGCGGCCGGGGAGTGGCTGGAGGTTGCGAAGCTGGCGCAGTCCAGGAGGTGCCTGGACACTGCGCTGCCCATGTACGAGAGTAGTCGCTTTCTGCACGTCCACGGCTTTATGGAGCACTTGAAGCAGCAGGCTGGGTACACCCCCCTGCTGGTGGACTTGCAAGATGGCAGGGGGAGAAGGGGCAGGGAGAAGGGTGAAGAGGATGATAGCGATGAGGAGGAAGGAGTCGAAATTCAGAGCGAGACGCTGCACACTGGGCTCAAGCGCAAGAGTTTGATTGTTGGCAGGGAGGTGGATAGGGAGGTTGAGAACGAGGCGGGGAGTGGGTTGGATAGGTTTGTAGATAGTTAAGAGGGTGGGGTTTTTTGTTTGTTTATTTCTTTTTTTTTCTTTTTTCTTCACTTGCATGTCTTCTCGTTCTACGGTATTACAGGGGGGGCGCTTGGGAAATGGCATTTCTTTGTACTACTGATGGCGTTTAATGGTAGAATTACCCGGTGTACATTCGCGTTGTATGGATGAACGGTTCGATTGGGAAGATAAAATGTGGGTCTAGTGGAATGGGAATGTGATAAATGCGAGTGACAAAATATCTGGACTGCATCGGAAACATGATGATCAAATGGAAAGGTATCTTATTATCATACCTATGGTTTTACCATTACCCGTGTATGATATTTTCCCCGGAATCTCATACCTCTTTTACGAGTGATGACACATGAAGAACTCACTCGCTCTAATAACCACTGAGGGAATTGAAACATGCAATTAAATTAGTCCTAAATTGAATTATGAAACCCCTACTGCAAAGAAACAGCTGCGATGGCGCCATGAAAGTGTGACTCTTGTCCATAAGCAAAAATAATCAAGTCAAGTTAACTATTAGTAAAAAGGGTTAGTGAAACAAATAAAGTTACTGTACAGTACCCGCAAAATTGAAACAAAGGAGATGATCTTTTAACTAACGGCATATGATAGCGCATCGTAAGTAAGTAATTAATCAAGTTAGTATCGCAAACAACTCACTCGGAATCCCCATCATACCCCCTCGAGTGATCGAAATGGATCCCAGGTCCGGACATCCTGTCCAACGCTTCCAAAACACCCGCAGCATGGGTATCAAAAACTTCGTCCGAGAAGGAAAATTCATCGGTAACAGCTGCGTCACTATAGCCATCACCGTCGTGACTATCGTCGGAAAAACGGCTATAATTGCGTTCCTCGACAGGCTCCTCCGAAATCGTAGCTAGCGGAGGTGCATTACTCTCCTTTTTCCTAATCACTAATGGTGCTATCATTTGAACCGGGGTGTATACTAACCCGTGCGAAGAATCCATCGGATTTCCCCCAGACACCAAGGGTGCGGGTGCAACGCGCTCTTCATAGCTGCGTGTTGACCGAGCGGAAACGAGGGAGGATGAAGATGCGCTGGAGTGGAAGGAGCTCTGTTGAAGGTGTCTTCCGAAGAGCGCTTCTGTTCTCGCGGATATCATGCTCAACTTTGTTGTTGAGGAGGAGGAAGAGGTTGATGTGTCAGAGCTGAGATGCGGTGGTGGCGTTGGCGAACTACGGGAAGGGGGACGAATGTTAGGATCTAGGAGCGGACGGCGGGGGTAACCGCCGAGTGATCCGCCACGGCGACGATAAGTGTTATCCGGAGGTGGAGTGAACTTGGAACTATGACCGGCGGCTGCGGAAACCTTCGGAGGGCGGCCACCAAGGGGAAATTGGATGGGTTTTGAGGAAGAAGGGGATGTTTCCGCGCTTTTGCCGCCGTTGTACTTGTCAGCGAGGTAGCTGGAGTAGCCCCCGTGAACGTTTAAGGTTGAGGGACCGGAGCTATCCAAGGTATGTCGCCTTTTCCGTGCACCTTTGCCCCCCTTCTTCTCTTTCTTCCCAGCCTTCCGCTGGGTCCCGGACCCCTGGGCAGCACCCCACTGGCCCTTAGAAGAGGGGCGTCCTCCGTCTGCTGCGGGACCGCTCGAACTTTCCATAAGGCTTAAGGCCCTGGATCCAGGGCGCTCAGCCCAATCACCCCGAGAGTACCTATCCGGATCATTAAAATCCTTCTGCAAAGTCAATCTATGCACCACCTTCTTCTCCTCCCCACCTTCTCTCCCCCACCCACCACAGCCCCCCACTGCCTCACCTTTAAAGCTCAACCTCTTCTTTACCTTCTGAAAAACCTTCTTCCCCTCCTTCACAATTCCCTTCACCCCCCCTCCCCCTCTCCCCTCAACCGAGCTATCATCTCCATAGTCAGAAAAATGACTCTCAGGCTCTGGCCTCGCCTTTGGCACTGGCCCTGGGATGATCTTGGCCTCATGCAGGATCCTGTCCAGCTCCGTGCTCATGTCTTTCAGCGTCGCAAGATTATTCCCAATCTGCCTCTGAGCACTGCCGAACCCTTGACGCTTCGCATCGTAGGCTGCTCGAGTAGACTGTATGTTCTCGATAGCCTGTCTGGCCGTCTGAACATATGGGTCTGCGATCCTCCTGTCGTTGGGACGCCAGGCGAAGAGCTTGTGGTTGATTATCTCAACGGCACGTTCGGCTTGGTCTAGTTCCTCTTGGAATGGCATTGCTTGTTTTTATGCTGAGTGGATGGCTGGTTGGTTAACTGATAGAATGTGCTGAAGGCTTGCTATAACTGTGCTGGTACTAGATGAATAGAGGGTTGTGATTTGAACTGCTGCTAGGAGAAGG